ATTTCTAGTTTCATATCACTGTGGTCTGAAAAGATGTGTGATATAATTTCAATCTTCTTAAATTTATTAAGATTTGTTTAATGGCCTAATATATGATCTTCGAAAATGTTCCATGTGCACCTGAGAAGAATGTATATTTTTTTGTTTTTAAAATGGAATGTTCAGGGCGCCTGGGTGGCTCAGTCGTTAAGCGTCTGCCTTCGGCTCAGGTCATGATCCCAGGGTCCTGGGATCGAGTCCCGCATCGGGCTCTCTGCTCGGCGGGAAGCTTGCTTCTCCCTCTCCCCCTCCCTCTACTTGTGTTCCCTCTCTCGCTGTGTCTCTCTCTGTCAAATAAAATCTTTAAAAAAAAAAAACAAAACAAACAAAAACAAAACCTGTGAATGTTACCTTAAATGGCAAAAGGGACTAAACAAATGTATTTAAATTAAGAACCCTGAAACAGAGAGACTGTGCTGGATTGTCTGGGAGAGCCCAATGAAATCATCCAAGTTGCCATAAACTTTGAATCTGAGAATCAGACGGGCAAAAGCATTAAGAGAGACTCCACCCAACACTGTTGGCTTTGAAGACAGAGGATGGGGCCATGCGAGGGGGGGAGGCAGGCAGATTCTAGAATTTGGAAATAGTAAGGTAACAGATTCTCCCCAGCACCTTAAAAAAGGAACAAAGCCCGCCAACACCCTGATTTTAACCCAGTGAGTCCATGCCAGACTTCTAACCTGTAGACTGTAAGATAATAAATTTATACTGTTTGAAGTTTACAATAATTTGTTACAGCAACCACAGAAAATGAATACAGAAGAGTAAGATGAAATGTAAATTCTTTTTCTCTTCCTTTCCCACTGACAATACTCAATAAAGAAAAAAAAGTAAAATCTAACATTTAACACCTCATCCCCAGTAGGATGGTTATATCAAAAACAATCAAACAAAATAATAGGTGTTGGCAAAGATGTGGAAATACTGGAACCCTTGTGCACTGTTGGTGGGAATGTAAAATGGTGCGCCCACTATGAAAAACAGCATGACACTCTATTTTAAAATAGAACTACCATATGATCCAGCAATTGCATTTCTGGGTAAAACGGAGATTCAAATAGATAATATGCACATCTATATTCAAAGCAGCTTATTCACAATGATCAAAAGGTGGAAGCAACCCAAGGGTCTCTCAACAGATAAAAGAATAAATGAAACGATGGTATATATATATATATACAATGGAATATTATTCAGCCTTAAAAAGAAAGGAAATTCTGGGGGCATCTGGGTGGCTCAGTCAGTTAAGTGTCTGCCTTCAGCTCAGGTCATGATCCCAGGGGCGTGGGATCAGGCCTTGCATCAGGCTCCTCGCTCACCGGGAGTGTGCGTCTCCCTCTGCCCCTCCCCCCAGCTTGTCTTCCCTCTCCCTCTCTCTCAAATAAATAAATAATCTTTAAAAAAAAAAAGAAAGAAAGGAAATTCTGATACATGCCATAACATGGATAAACCTTAAGGACATTATGCGAAGTGAAATAAGCCATTCACAGAAAGACAAATACGATAAGAGTCTATTCATATGAAGTATCTAAAACAGTCAAATTCACACAAACAGAAAGTAGAATGGTGGTTGCCCTGCGCAGGGAGGGAGGGAGAAATGGGAGCTGTTGGTTAACTACAGAGTGTCAGTTTTTTTGTTTTTTTTTTTTTTAAGATTTTTATTTATTTGACAGAGAGAGACAGCGAGAGAGGGAACACAAGCAGGGGGAGTGGGAGAGGGAGAAGCAGGCTTCCCACTGAGCAGGGAGCCCAATGCGGGGCTCGATCCCAGGACTCTGGGATCATGACCTCAGCCAAAGGCAGACGCTTAACGACTGAGCCATTCAGGCGCCCCTACAGAGTATCCATTTTATAAGATAAAAAAGTCCTGGAGACTGGTTGTACAACTGTGTGAATATATTTAACACTACTGAAATGTATGTACACTTAAAAATGGTTAAAATGGCAAACTTTATATGTATTTTACAACAATTTAAAAAGAGAAGCTAACACTTGAAAAAAAGAGAAAACACAAACATGGATTTTTTCCAACTAAATCCAAGTGATTCTCCCTCAATCCACCATAGGCAAAGTATCACTTCACCAGGTATCACTCCCATGCTTGTCTTTGCAATTAAAAATGTAAGTCCAGGGGTGCCTGGGTGGCATAGTTGGATGAATGCCCGATTCTTGGTTTTGGCTCACGTCGTGATATTGAGCTCCCTGTAGGGCTCCACACACAGCAAGGAGTCTGCTTGGGATTCTCTCTCCTTCTCCCTTTCCTCCTCCTGCTCATGCTCTCTCTCATAAATAAATAAATCTTTAATTTAATTTAATTTAAATTTTAAAAAAGTCCAGAGCAATTATCAAGAAATTAAAAGCATCCAAACTGAAACAGAAGAAGTAAAACTGTTATTACTTGGAGATGATATATGATATACAGAAAACCCTAAAGACTTCACAAAAAAAACCCTGTTAGAATAAACAAATTCAGTGAAGTGGCACGATACAAAATCAATATACTAAAATCTGTAGTGTTTTTATACATTAAAAACAAACTACCAGAAAGAAAAATTATGAAAACAATCCCAGGGGCGCCCAAGTAGCTCAGTCAGTTAAATGACCAACTCTTGATTTTGGTTCAGGTCATGATCTCAGGGTCCTGGGATCAAGCCCTGCACTGGGCTCTGCACTCATCGGAGAGTCTGCTTGAGGATTCTCTCTCTCCCTCTGCCCCTCCCCCCACCTGCCACTCTCTCCCTCTCAAAAAAATAAATCTTTATAATTACATCAAAAATAAAATACATAGGAATAAATTTAATCAAGAAGGTGAAAGATCTGTATACTGAAAACTGTAAGACATCAATGAAAGAAACCGAAGACACAAATAAATGGAAAGATATTCCATACTCATGGATTGGAATAACTAATAGTTTAAATGTCCACACTACTCAAAGCACTCTACAGATTCAACACAATCCCCTATTAAAATTCCAATAGTATTTTTCACAAAAATAAGTCAAGAAATAGTAAGTGTTGGCCAGGATGTGGATAAAAGGGAACCTTTTGTGTAGTGTTGATGGGAATGTAAAATGGTACAGTCACTATGGAAAAGTCTGGAAGTTCCTCAAGAATTTAAAAGTTGAACTACCATATGTAGTTGGTAGTTGTGAATGTGAATGGACCTACAGGGCATTATGCTAAATGAAATAAGTCAGATGGAAAAGATAAATATCGTATGATCTCATAACATGGAATCTAAAACAAAACAAAACCCAAAATATGTCCAAGCTCATGAATACAGAGAACAGATTGGTGGCTGCCTGGGGAAACAGGAGGGGGAGAGGAAGCAAAATGGATGAAGGAGGTCAAAAGGTACAAACTTCTAGATATAAAATAAAGAAAGAAAAATATAAAAGTCCATTATTTATTTCATTTTTCTAGATTATGTGACTAAGAACACACAAGTATCTGAGTACACTACCATAGTGTTTTCTCTCAGATAAAATCCGTAAAATACAAAATTTTAAAGAAAATCTGTGTTCATTGTATTAACCCCATGACATTAATTTCATTCACCCATACAGAAAAACATAACAATTGTCCCATTAAAGTGACACAATCCGTACTCTGTCAGCTAATAATGGTAGAGGATTATGTGGCAATTCATTCACAATTGCTCCCCACAATATCTACTTTCCTTTTATTCCAAGTATACACTTTGTTCAAACTTTCAGCATGTCTCTAAATTCTAATACTCCAAAATTAAAGAGTAAGATTTAACTATGCAAACTGAAAAAGATGTTAAAAACTCTTCTGTTTTTATTCTTGCCCACCAAAGAATGGTAACATATTTAGTTTATTTTCAAGAATGCTTCCAATCCCTTTTCCTCTAGATACCTAATGTTCAAGAGCTCCATGTTATCTGGAAAATTCATTATCTGAGACTCTGCAGTTCCAGGTTACACAGGGAAGCAAGAATTATAAATAAATGTACTCATTAATAAAATGATCATCTGTAAAATGGGTTTCCCATCTTGACCACCCCCACCCTCAGAATCACACAAGTGTCTGTCTGCTCATCATGCCATTAGTCTCTTAGAGCTAGCTGTAGATTTGTAAACATCTGACAATATAATCCAAACACAACACAAATCGACTATGTTAAACTACATTACCAAAATATGCAAGATTTCATAAAGTTAATAAAAATGTGCTCGAAACTTCTTGGGATCACATAAACTATCTTGAACAGATAAGTTACGTAAGTTAGTAATGGAAAACAACAAAGAAGACATTAACCTCAATTTTTTTTGATCACTAAAGTATTGAAGAAGGTTCTTTAAAATTGAAGAACTGCTCAAACATTTCTGCAAAAATGACTTTCATTATAATTATACTGCAAAATTGAAAAAAGCTAGCATTTTTGTCTCATATCCTGATTTTAGAACCCAACTCTGCAGAAAATGCAACTCGCCGGTAAAAACCTGGTTCCAAATTAGACATCATCTAAAACGCTATCTTCCATTTATTCAGTATATAAAATATAGGGGCAAGATAATAAAAGTATTATACACATTAATTTTTTTAAATCCCCAAAATTCACATTTCAAGCTGTGGAAGAAGCAGCTAATTCCTGACGTGGGTACCAATTACTAACTGCACTGCCAAAAGAGAGCTCAAAAGAACTAGAAAAACTATTTACAAAAATAGAAAAAAGACTTCATAAAGTTAGAACAACACTATTACTATTTTGCCTTACAAAGAAACAGTAAAAGCTAAACTGATGAACTGTATTGACCTATTATTCTCCTGCAGGCAACCTACAAAAACTTTTCACTAAGGGGCTGAACAATTGACTCACAGCAGAGCTGGGTTTCATCTTATCAATAGAACATGCAAGCTTTCAATCGGGGTTCTCTATAAAAGGCAACCTTTGTGATAAATGAACCACCAGAGAAGATTCTAATAAAACTTACCATTGTGTATTGCATTCAGCAACTCTGAGAAAGCTTTTAAGTAAGGAAAAAAGGACTTCAGGTTAAGATCATTCTCAAACACACAGAAGAAATACATAGGCATAGACTGAATCAGTATAATAAAATCTCAATAAGTCTATTATGTATCATTGTTTGAATCATTAAAACTGCAAATTTGGCTCAGTTTTTACATGTATAAATTTCTAAATACTGTATTTCATTTGCCATTCTATCACCTAATAAATTTAAGTAAAATGTTATATTGTCATAATGGTGACAAATTTTCTTAGTGATAAATATATATGTAAAATTACTTTTAAAAAGACGTTTAATAGTCTCTGTAATGTCTTTCTTGGTAAAAGTATTGATATGATGCAATTCTGTATAGGTAAATCTACCTCAACAATTCTACACTCAGCAATATTTATTATAAAGAAAAACTTCATTTTATTATCCAACCTGATCATTCTCATTTCCTAGACTTCAATATAATAGTCTCAACACATATAGAGGTCGAAGCAAGAAAGATATCTAATGCCAACATACAAATATTGAAAAAATTATGTGAACATTAAGATTAGTGGAAACCAAATACTGAAAATATTACTTCAATAGGAACAGAAGTCACAATTCTGCAACTGAAGCACCATATTAAAAACCCAAAAATAATTAAAATTTGATCACAGTGACTCTAATATGGATCCTGAACACAGGACAAGCAGCAAGTTCTCTCTGTAGGAGAAAAAATATCTATTTTTTAAGAACCAATTGCATTTTGAAGTTTAGAGGATCAGTGGTGGCATAATATAATAGAAAAAAAACACTAAAGTAGAAGTCAAAAAGCCTGGGTTACCAACCCAGTTCGACAACTTACTAGTTGTTGGACAAGCTCCATCATGCCGATACTGCATGGAAATTTCTGTTGGGAGGGAGGAGAAAGGAAATCAGCCAAGAATTTGCCAGTGACTCAAGGACAGAAAAAGAAAAAGGCCAGAAAAACAGGGAAACATTCACCCAAAAGTCTAGCTGAGAAGGGCAAACAGAACGATGGGAACAGAAATTATAAGCCAGTACCTGGGATGTGATGGGTAGAAGGACCAAAAGTGATGGAATTCTCATAAATCTTTAAATGGGATAGTATGGGTATCTGTGTATGTGCATGTGTGTGCAAAGAATGAGGAAAAGACATAAGGGCTTACAAATAAATATGCAAGACAAGTGTCTAAGAAAAAACAGATTCATAATAAGAGGGAGTATAGTTAGCAACACACTAATGTGTTTTATATAATTCATTAGATGAGAACAATTTATCAAAAACATCTGAATTCCGTGGTCAATTAAATTATTACTCAAGTACGGAAATTATTCAGTTTATACAAACTGAGCAGTAATCTACGACTATTATATAACAGTATAAAACTTGTTAAACTACGCTCTGCTTACTTTTTTGTACCTTTCATTTTTGATGACAATAATGAAGGAATAAACCATTACTCTTACTCTTTTGCTCCCCCCAAATGAGGAGAATAAGCAGAGGATGACATGAAGCAATAAAACACTGCTAAAAGCAAAAGCTGCTGAGAAAATGAAAAATAAATTTCTATATGACATTCCAAAGGAAAAAATAACTGATAAAACTGACCAAGTCTGTTACTCAAAGCACCTCGCCTGCTAATCCTGGAAACAACAGGTATTCCTTTGTGGCTAACGCTATTGGTCCAATTTTTCTTACAAGAAGAAAATCTGGAATTACTCTGGATACTATTTAACCAAAAACATGACTTCTAGAACCCATGTGTACAAGAAAGTCTTCGAGGCAACCATCACTCACACATCTACCCGTATGCATATCTCAGAAGTCAACTCCAAATCATGGGCCCACTCCAAATGACTTGAAAGAAGAAAGACAAAGCAAGGCAGAGCAAGCCAGGACTCACTTTTAATCATTTTAATGTTTGTTTAAAAAAAAAAATTAGATACTGTTCAAGAATCAAACCTTTAGACCAGTTTAGTATAAGTTCTTTCCAGATGGCACTCAAAACTGTAACATGGTGGAAGAATCTGCCATCTTTAATGATCATTAACAAATTCAAGTGGTATTTTAAAAGGGAGTGAAGGCTACTGAAGAGATTGACATGGTACATTACAGAGAAACGGTAACTGTTTGGAATAGTACCAAAAAATAATCAAAGGACATTCACAGTAATAGAAGGATTTTTTTCAACAGGGAAAAAATTGAAATATGGCTATTCTGCCCTTTGATCTGGGACTTTTGTAGAAAGACATCCATGGTACAGGGCCAGCAAATTTTCAAATCATCAAGGAAGAAAACAAAAATCAGAGAATTTTCCAAGGAAACAAACTGCAAGGTATATTATGGTCTTAGTAGCACCCAATATCTTACATGATTTTCACTTATGACCCAATATAACTAATTTTTATAAAAATCATGAACCTGAGTCATTAAGATGAGTTTAAAGTATGTTCAATAACTGTATCTACTCCTTGGTCTACAATAATGTATTAGTTACTCTTGTGAGTTCATTAGATTTATCTTTGGATCTTTATAATTCCCTTATTTGTTAACAGAATCAGTCTATTCCTAATTAAAATATCTTACCAGGGAAAGATGTCTCAATTTCATTTTATTAACCTAAGGAGATATGATGTATTTCATAACAACCAATTCATAGTCACATGGGCTCAAGTTAAACTTTCATAACCTTCATATTTCAGAAGCCAGAACAAACTTCTCTTGAAGTGATCTATTCATTAATAACTTATCTCCCTGAAATCTGTAAGACTTTATCATGAAATACTTAGGGTCAGAATCAAAGAACTACCTTCCCAGAATCTCCTTTCATAGCCATTTATCACCACTAAAGAATTCCATCACGGAAACAGATTTCAAGTATCTTAACTTGGAAAGGTATGACCACATTATATTAAAGAACTAGAGACTAAGATTTTAAAAAAGCAGGCAAGCCTCGAAAGGACATAGTATACCCAAAGAAAATAAGTTAATGCTAAATATCATCAACTAATCATTTAATGAATACCAGATTTTTCTCAGAGAAAATAACAAGATGTTGATTTTTATGAAGAAAAAAATTTCTTCATAAACTTTCACTTTAGGAAATTATAAACTCCCATAATATGGTTGAGATAAATAGGAAAAAGGAAAAGGACAAATACAACATGTCAACTATTCCAAATGCTGTACTAATTTTCAATGTTCCAAAAGTCCTACTTGTTTTAAGATCTCAAAAGAATATACAGGAAGAATTCAATTAAAAGCTTAACATAATCTATACACCAAAACTTACAACCTTTGGAAGCCACTTAAAACAATACAAGTTTACAAGTCATTGTAACAGTAAATCACTTAAGAGGATGTACTTCAACTTATTACATTAAAAATCTTGCAAACCAAACCACTGATCAGGCAAGGAATTTATAGTTTTCTGGGTTTCTATTCTGACAGGACCTGATATTCCTAGAATAAATATCTTGCTTTGTACATGCTACTATGAATATGTCATGATAAAATTTTGAATGCTTCTATTAAGACAATCCCATCATAAGTACCTGATTCTACTTCTGCTGTATATCCTAGTTGTGATAAAACTGGAGAAAGTACAAAAGTAATAGTAGCTGCCTTGCCTATTTTCACAAGATTGTTCTTAGGAACAAATAAGATAGTAATTAAAGAGTTCTTCAGAAACTGTTAGGTGCTCTCAAATGTAAGATATTACCATTACTGCAAGCTGATGGAAGCAATGTATTTTTTTTCCATCAATGAAATTCTTTTAATAGTAAGTTGCCAGAACTAAGTACAGGATGCTTATTCTAAGACCAGTAGTCTGTTAAGTTTGATTTCTTCAGCTTGACATTCAACTTTCCATAAACCCATCCTGCCCTACCTTAATCAACATTACCTCCAACTGTCCTGCAAATTAGATTTCCCTATTAGTTTTATCCCTCAAATGTAACTTTACTTTCTTTTCTGGTAATATTGTTGGACTTTTTCTGCCTACTCCAAAGTGTAATTCAAATTCCAACTTCTCCATGGTCTTTTCCAACTTAATTAACACATCCTTAACTGGTCTGTAATACTACATGAAAAGCTTCTTTACAAATAATTTCACTTGCAATCTAACTATGAACACTTGGAAGTACAAAATCACACAGGATATTACTAATCACATGATATGTTCTCAGTGATTACTAATAGTATTCATTCATTTAAAAAAAAAAGTTTAGCATTTATTATATACAAAGCACTGTGCTGGAGGTGAGGAGACAGTGATGAACATGACACACACAGCCCCTAGCCTCATGAAGCTAGGATTATATAGTGTGTGTTACAGTCTAACATCAGAGCCAACAAATGCTTACAAAGGTCACCTTCATCATTACTAAATTATTACCCTGTCATGAAAGCAACAAATCTTTTGGAAAGGGCATCATGCAAAAACAATTCTTGGTAACAGTACATAGTATACATTTCTTTTTCCTACTTATTTATGTGGGAAGAAAGTTTCCTAGTTTTACAGCTACTAAATGATTTCTCTATCTAAAATCAGTTGAAAGAAAACTTCGCATTTTCATACTAATAGGAGATACTATTGTTCCAAGTGAAATTATTGGCCCAAATTTTCTCACTGATCCCATTGCTTAAAGTATGACTGACATTATACTAGTGTGGTTGCAAACCTTCATCAGCAAACACCCCTTGAATTTTAGAGTTGAGGGTCTCTGAAATCAAGGAAAATGCATTGTTCCACCACTTAGAGCTATGAGAATTCTGTCTCTGTTTCTTCATCTGTACAATGAGTAATAATACTCAATGCTTGTAAAGTGCCTAAGACAGGTGTAGTACATACTGCATTTCAACAGCAGTTAGCATTTCTTAACTTACAATTAAGAGGACATAATTCCTATTTAAATACCCATGGCATTTACCTAGTTTCTTCTAAGTAAGAATAGACTTTTTAGCACTGTTATCAATAGGGTGTGCTCTGATCTAATCATAAAACTTTTAATAAAATGTATAAAATTAAAGAATGTATTATCTCAAATAGTTTTAAGTAACTAATCTTAGTGCACAATTATGGCTTTAACAAAACATAAGAGCTGCAGTTATTTTTAAGCACACTTTTAAGGCAAAAAAATCCTAGTAAGTCTAAATTTAAGTCATTTACTTCCATGAAATAATAATATTTACAGGAATTTCTCCCTAAATTTCTTCACCTAATGGTGAGGTAAAAGGGATACAAAATCATGCTTTTCTGCCATAGATGTAGCACACGCTGCCCTCTGAAAGTAATAATTGTGAAAAAGAACACTATTTCCCAAGGCTAAATCTCTCTAAATCCGTAACAGGTAGGAAAATCTTTTCACAGATGTAAATCAAGATTTTAATTCCATTAATTTGAGGATGTGTATTTCAAATAGCATCCAAATGCAATTTCTGAAATTCAGTATTTTTCAGACTACGCTTCTATGTATAGGAAATCAGTGAGAAACTCTTCACAAAAGCAAATTCAGGTTTAATTGTCTCAGTAAGTTATTCATCTGATTACTGTGTATCTTGCTAAAAATGAGTATGAACTCAATTTTTTCTGAGTAAATTTGTCTAAATTTATTTTTTTGTGACCAGGGGCTAGGGCTAGTTGCTAAGCTCTTCTGGCCTAAAAGAAAATAAATGAATATATATAAAATGTATATCCAAGCGTGCAATATACTTAAGTTTTTTCAATGGATTTACTTCTCATTACAATTTGTATTATTCCCCCTCGAAAACAGTGGTTGTCAACCAAGAGCGATTTTGCACCCTCCCCCAACATTTTTTGTCACTACTGGAGGGTGAAGGGGAATTTTGGGGGCTACTAGCATCTTAGTGGGTAGAGGCTGGGAATCTTGATAAATGTCCTACAATGCACAGGACAGGATTGCACAAGTAACTATCCCAATCAACATGTCAACAGTGCCAAGACTAAGAAATCATGGTCTAGTCTAAACCCATCCTTAACACTTCTAATAAAAAAATCCTGTCATAGTTTCCACTCATTTCTCAAAAACAAACAACTTGTCCAACAGGTCCAAGGTGGCACTGAAGCTAACTAGGAAAAACAAAGAAATCCCCAGCTGTGATCTTGGGCAGCTTATTTTACCTAACCAGGTCTCAGTTTTATCAGCTGTAAAAAGGGGGAATAAATAGCCCTTATTTCATAAAACTATGTGGGGATTAAACAAGATAATAAATATAAAGCATTAATAGACCCTGGCACAAATAATAGCAATAGTTAATAATTTTCACATCTGACCTTTACATATGCTCTTTTCTCCCTTAGAATGATATTTGTTTACTTATGTCTGCACAACTATAAAAAACAATCCAAAAGTCTGTATTTATAAAATACACATGAACATTCATTTAAATTGTGTTTATTATATTTCCATACCATTTCCTACCTACCCTCTCCACCAACTAATAGAACTGATAAAATCCGTAAGTTTATTTTAGCCAAAATCTCATCACTTCTACAATCAGAAATCTAAAATCAAAACAGCTGAGTTTACAACACTAATTTAAAACCATTTACCTCAAATTCAAGATCAATTTAAAAGATAAATATTGACATTTAGCTAATATCTAAACTGTTAACTTTTTGTCTAAAAACATGCGACTTCAAATTTTTAAGACTTGACAATATTCATAATATATAGGTTAAAGAAGCATCCCTATGATGTGAATAACAACATATATAAATTCATTCCTACTATAATAAAGATAATGGTAAAAATCTGTTAAACACACTTGAAAACAAAATGAATATAAATCATTTCAGATTATCTTCTGAAATAAAATGACTGTTAAAGTTCAAATATTTAAATCATTTTACCACTGAAAAATATTCCAGATGGATAATTCAAGTAGAATTTGTGTGAGGAAGTGTTGAGAAAATGGAAGACTAATTAAACTTTAGAAAATGAAAGTTCAAAAACAAGCACCAATCAAAAACATAGTGCGAAAGTATACAAAACACTCACACCTTAATTGTGATTTCTGAGTTGGGTTTAAAATACTGTGCAGGCAAAGCAAAAACAAAAATGGGAAATTACTCCAGGTATTTTGTAAGAAATGAGTGACCAATAAACAATTTAGCCTATAGTTAGTTAAGTAAACTATCAGATTGGTGCCAAACATCCTGTCCAAACACCAAATCATCTTCCTAAGATCTTAACACATTTTTTTCATTAAGACAAGTAAATATCGCTTAGCAACTCAATGTATTAACAAAACAATAGTTTAAAATGAATTTCCCTTTTGGGGTAAAGGAAGGGTGGTGGTGGTGGGAATAAGTAAGAAAAACAATGGGCAAATCCCTACCTGAACCAACTGGAGATGAGCCAACACTAAGACTTTGTAAACTTCCATTCCTGAGCAATGTAGGAGATTTCTGAAGACTAGAGCTTGTTACACTTCCTGCAGCTGATGCTACAGATGATGTTGGTGAAGCAGAAGAAACTGAGAGATGAGAAACATTCTCTTGATTTTTGTTTCCTTTAGGTCTACCAGGCCCATGCTTACTTTGTTTATTTCCTTTTCTTTTCTTTTCCTTTACAGTTTCTTCTTCTATGCCAGAAGTTTGAGCCCGCTTATATCCTGCTGTTGGAAGGCTGGAATTACCCAAATCTCCAGGTGAATTTTCAAAGCTTTTAGGCTGTGAAATAACAGCTGAGGTCGAAGGGAGACCCATTATGGAACTAAAACTATTTACCCCCCCTTCCTGGCTTCCAGACTCTCCTTTATGTACATCTTTGGTTGATGATGACTGTTGGGAGTGAGTATAACTGTCATTACGCAGATCTGAGTCTGTAAAGCTCAAGAAATCCTGGGGAGACTGTACTGAACTTCCCGAAGATGATTTTACACTGCCTGGAGTTCCTGAAAAACTGCCTGTAGTAAAATAAAAAAAAAAAGGGGGGGGGTAGGAAAAGAAAAAAATTGGATGCAAAAGTTCCCAAGAGCAGTAGAAATGATACAATCATCAAAAAGAGATGAAGAAAAAAAACTAACTATAAAACTTAGGACATCACTATGTAACAGAATTTTAAAAAGGTTATTATTGAAATCAAGTTGATCTATAAAATAATCTTTTAAAAAATATTTGTCATTTCATACCTATTAAACTGAATATTAACTCGAGTTGCAAGCTATTAGTTCTACAATGACCAAGATGTAAGATGTGCTTTATTTAACCTACCTTTTACTATGGCAACATTCCTCAACGTTCCCCCAAATACCTGTGTATGCTTGAGGAAGGACTGAAGAACAGCAAAGTCTCAGAGTTTGACAAGACTACTACTGTATTCTAGAACTTCCTCTTTTTCAATTACTGAAGATTTGATTTAAATGTTCCCAAGACACACCCAGAACCAAAAGTTGTTGCTTAGGTTTTAAGTTCTGAGTTTTAACTTCAAGATAATGTTAGTGAATATTATTATTCAGTTAAATCTACCCCACCAAAACATGGATTTAATAATAATGATTACATGGAACCTAGTCTATATACCTAACCTTCTCCCAGTCCACTACCCATGGAGCTGCATAAAGAAACCAGCCACTAACATTCTTCTATTGCTTTTATGAAAGTAAAATCACAGGAGAGGCACACTCATGAATCTCGCTCACAACTGCTTGTCTCCTCACTCTTTAAAGAACTTTAGTAGCCCACTATGTCATTATGAGATTAAAAGGTTCTTATCTACTTGGTAGAAAAATAATATGGCTGGGATGAAACAATAGTTTGGTCCACCATCCTAATTCACCAAACCGTGTCTTCATGCTCACCACATTAAGTGACAAGTGTTTAGACTCAGTTGTGACCACACATCTACTATGTTTCATAAAACTTAAACTATATCATATTTTAACTAATGTATTTAAAAACAAAAGCTCAAAATAAAGTGTTTCATTGGAATGGAAGGGAAATTTCAAGCTAAGGGTTAAATTTTATTGCAGAGCACATTCAAAAGTAATCACACATAAATCCACCTAAATATTTACAACAGTATTTTTTCCTCACACACAAGAGAGAATTTAACTAAAGTCTCAAGGTTTTGAATTTTAAATTTTAAGCTTTTCTGAAATGGCTTATTAAGCAAGAACATTAGTAAGTCTAAAATTTAACTCTTTGAAGAGAATATCCATTTTATTCATTTACAAAATTATTTGTACCTATGTGAGCATTTTCAAGTTATGTCTATATAAAGAAACATACATATTAGGAAGCCATTTACATTACATCAATCATTTAAGGATAACTGTAATTTGCCACTTAATTAGCAACTATAAAGAAGTTCTTTATTATCCATTCTGATCTGTCACCATCTGTCTTTTTTCCACACATTTTTGTTTTTACAGCTGGTGTTAAAAGCTCACTACAGGGTAGCAAATACTTTCAAACATTTAGTATATGCAATATTTTCACATATATTTTCTAAAATTCACATACCACCTGCAATGAAAAAAATAAAACCAAGCATCTTAAACACCCTACCTTTAAATATCAACTTTTAAAACTTTTATAGAATATTACCTCAGATATGAAAACATAATACATTCTATACCACGTCTCAACAGAGGCAGGAAAAGACAGTTCAACGTTGTAAATGTTAAGAAAACGAGGGATTTCTTTTCTAAATGGATTAGTACTTCAAAGATTAAAAACTGAAAAATGCAATTTTAACAGTGGAAAATAAGGTCTTAATTACATCAAAAGGATGACTAAATTCTTCTAATATCACATTCAAAATGTAAATAAAGTTACATTAAAAATAATTAAGGTTTTACGATTTATTTTCCACAGTGGCATAAAAATAACAACAAATATAAATTTATTAAAATAAAACAACAAATTTGGCATTGTATTTCTTTTCTACTTGTCTAATTCTTTGTAATATAAGGCAAAAAAAAGTCTAGGATGTAAAAATCTTGAAGCACAAAATAACTTAGTTTAAAATATACAAATAAACTTTTTAATAAAAGATCAGCAGACTACGCAATCTCTCTACATATTCAAATTTTTATTATCAGCAAAAGCTTAAAGGAAAGAAAAAGACAATTTTTCCCCCTCATTTATTCCTAGGGGGCAAAAAAAAATGGGGGGAAGAGGCATTTATTGTATACTTTACTAATATATTTATCTCCAACAGTTTTTAACATTTATATTTCTCAAAATATTTATGTTCAAGTTAAAAACACAAAATAAAAACCTAGAACAGAGGGCTAATGGACTGTAAAGTTAGCTGAGTTATTCTGTTCTCCATAAAATAAGGTTACCGTATAAAATACAGCATGTCCAGTTAATTTTTAATTTTAGTTACACAACAGGTTATTTTTTCAGTATAAATATATCCCATGCATTTATTTGGGACATACTTACACTGAAAAATAATTTGTTGTTAAACTGAAATTCAAAATTAAATGGGCATCTTATTATAGTAGCCTTACCAAAAGATATGTAAGCTTAGTAAAATTCTACTTTAAAATTCAAGCTTTATAATAAATGCATTAATAATTAAAAATTATTTACTGAGAACTATTTATATTCCCTACAAATTACCCAGTACTTGTTTACTTACTAAGAATATATGCTTTAACTATTTTAGTGTTTAATTAGGACAGGTAAGTGATAACAATTCATTAAAAAGAAAGACTGTTCTATAGAGCAGAAAGGAAAACTCCAGCTTTTATTGTTTTTTCTCCCCAAACTTAAACTTTATTCCACATCTATTTAAACATTAAAATTACAGTTCAGCTTTGGAAGCACATGTCATAACATAAAAGGTCCCAGAAACATTTTAACAAGGAACACTAGTCTTCGAAGTAATCTTACTACAGCAACTAATCATAAAATAATCTCCAATGATCCATCAGTTATAAATAAAAAATAAGTTCTTTTACAAAACTTAACTGCTATTGATCATCGCAAGAACAATTATTTTAACTAAAACATCATAATTAATACCTTGCTGGAAAGGACTAGCTGCTGACACAGTCGTTCCTGGATTTCTTCCACCAGGCTTTCTTCCCCTTTGACCTGAGCTGTGAGCTGAAGATTTCTTCCCTTTGCCCTCTGACCCTCTAGCCTCTGAAACATCTTTTCCACTAGTTGTGTGCGCAGAGACTTCTTGGAAGTTTGCATTTGTAAATCGAGCTGCAGTATCCTCCAAGCGCTTCAATGATCCAGAAATAGAGTTGCTGCTAGTGCTCGTATAAGTCTAACATTTTCATTGAGAAAGGAAGTTGAAAAATAATTGATTAGATTTTGGCTGGGGGGGGCATATTAATAATAATAATTAGACTTGTAAGAAAAACATACAAAAGTTTCAGTTATAAAAGTGAGTCCACCTAAGAAAATCATGTAAAAACAATTATCTGAGTCTACTGCAAATACCTTTAAATTGCAGCAATTAGTAAAAGTACATATTAGTCATAGTTACTCAGCAACACACAGTAAGTAGTAATGAAGGAACTTGTTTCTCAAGCAACATCATTTTCAACAAGAAAAAACTACTTCCTAGTCATGAAATTAAAATCAGCTTTAATGTTCAGCACAAAGGCAACAATGAGAGAGAAATAAGGTGCTACAAATCATTAGAGGACTATATCCATGAGATTACAAGCACAGGTCAGAGCAAGAATTTTTAAAATTCAGGTGAAGTCTGCTTTTCAAAACAGAAAAGATTAAACCCTTTAAAATAGAAATCAGTCTCTTCCAAGTATTAAGATGAAAGAACAGTTATACTTTGCAGTTTAAGATTTTTACAAATTAGAAGTATTATTATCCCCTATGGATTCTCAGTCATCCCCCTGATCCAGATATGTTAGGGGAAAATGCAAAATAAAGATCTGTTTAAACAATTAGTTTCCAGTTTTTAATAATCATTTTAAGACAAAGTATATGCAAATAATGGTAAATTAAACAACTATGAAAATGTGTTCTAACAGATGTACATTAATCAACACGCTTCAAAATAAAAGGCTTATAAGGTCCATTGGGTCAGGGATTTTTGTTGCCACTGTTTAAGTTCACTAAATGCCTGAAAGACAAACAGCCCTGAATTTCTGTTGAATAAATAAATGAGTATTTTTCTGATACATCTATCTAAAATCTCTGATGTAATACAAATAAAAAATCTGAAAATAAAACTGAAATTTCCCACACATAACCACCACTCAAATATAAACCATCAGATAAAGGTGGAAAATGAGAAAGGAATGATAAAATCAGGTTTCAAAATGGTTGGCATTTTTAGCAAAATCAATGTTCAAAATGAGAAATGAAAGACTTCAAATGTTTTGAAAACCAAATACTCGTTACTACTACTTTTCTGCTACTTGCCCCCCATACCATCCTCCCCCCACATCATCTCACTGCCAAACAGATCTTAATCATTAAATACAAAAGACATTATCTCATAAAAAACAAATTACTATTCTCATAAGCGAGGGTCCACAAAAGAGAACAAAGTTCTCAAAGTAAGTTTTAGGAGAAAGCCAATCATGTTTAAGCTGATTAAACTTTGTGGATTACTTTAGAAACATGAACCTTTTCCATGCTGGGCAGGTCACTTTGGAAACCACACCACTTCACTTTTCAAATATATTCCTTTCTAATAACTCGAGTTGATCCTGAGGCTCTTCACCCCACTCATATACAAGCCTACTGAAGTTTGAAAGTCATCTAGAGGCGCGCCTGGGTGGAGCAGTTGGTTAAGCACTCAACTCTTGGTTTTGGCTCAGGTCTTGAGATCAAGCCCCGTGTTGGGCTTCATGTTCAGCAGGGAGTCAGCCTGAGATGCTCTCTCCCTCTCACGTGTGCGCACACTCTATCTCCCTCTCTCTAAAACAAACAAATAAATCTTTAAAATAAATAAATAAATAAAAGTCATCCAGTGATGTTCTTCATTCAGGTACTTTGTCCATATATCAAATAAGCAAAGAAGAAAAAACTAGGTGGAGAACCAAACACAGAAATATACTATCCATTTCTACATACCAATCTAAATTGGGGTTGGTCAATTTTCCCATTCATTTAATAGAATGTCCCTGCTTATCCCTGAAGTATAAGTATGTCCATAAATCCAAGGAAAATATGGCATATGGAAGAAAAGGTATTACAAAGAAAGGAATGAATGAAAATTAAGCAAATTTCAGTGACTAAAGTTGTATTAAGACAAGGCAATAGCATTTTAGTTTTTAAAAACTTAGACATCTTCTAACTTGAAAAGATATCAGAGATTTCTTAACAAGAAAAAATAAAGCTTTAGTTGAAGATTCTAACAGTTCTTTTAAAAAAAATTACACCTAACAACAAGGGAAAAAAGTCTATATGGTTTTACTCAAAGAGAGACCTCCAACCTTAACTCCACCTTTGTAAGTTAATTTAAGAATTTAAGAGTATCTGTTCCATAATACGCTGTTTAAATTATATGGAACTGGGGTGCCTGGGTGGCTCAGTTGGTTGAGCAGCTGCCTTCGGCTCGGGTCATGATCCCAGGGGCCTGGGATCGAGGCCCACGTCGGGCTCCCTGCTCAGCGGGGAGCCTGCTTCTCCTTCTCCCTCTGCCTGCCGCTCTGCCTACTTGTGCTCTCTCTTTATCTCTCTGTCAAATAAATAAATAAAATCTTTAAAAAAAAAAAA